GTGGGTATTCTGAATTAATGAGTGTCATACTCCTCACGTGAATTCAACTTATAAACTTTGGAAAAAATAATTGAAAATGTTACAATATCCTTTTTATAAGTTCCACACCATTTGACTAAATCATTCATTTCTTGAAATGTTTTAGAAGGCAAGTGTCAAAACGGAAGCAAAGGTTTTGGCCTCAAGATGTCAGAAAGGACATTGACTTATAATATTGCATATTAAATAGAATGTGTCTTGTATAATGTCTATACAGCTAACAGTTTCCTAGGAGAAGGCCACTTCGTTCTTCATATTCTAAGAGCTGAGCTGGAGAGCTGAGCTGCCAGTTGTTGGAAGTCGTTGTTTAAGACAAGCCAAAATGAAGGTAATGGCCAAACCTTGGGTCACCAATTGTGAGAGTATAAGCAAGAGGCTACTTAGGACAAAGTGCCAGTCCTAACCATCACTCACCAGCCCAGTTCCATTTTCCCTACAGAACAGTGTGAGGTGTGGGGCAGGTGGGTCAGCTCAGAGGTAGGGATCATAGCTCTTCTCCAAACGGCTGCTCACATTCATGAACCTGGGGGCTATGAGGAGGGGTCAGGGCAAAGGCTAGGAGTGGAAAAGTACTAAACCCTGAGTCGCAGTGGAGAACGTGCCTTCAAAGTCACCTATGCCTGATAAGAAGGGAGGCTCCAAGGGGAGCTCTCAGCTGAGGGTCCCCAGTCAACAGGCCTGGGAGATAGGAATGGAGAGGTGCCTGACAGCATGGCTGGCCGGCGCCTGGTAGTTGCAGCGGCTCCCATGAGAGACTGCAGTGTGCTGACTGTGCACCAGGTCTGCTGTGGGGAGGGCAGCTTCCCCCATGAGGCCTGCCAGATAAAGCATCTGTAATTGTCTGTGGTTGGCCTGAAAAATCACACACAAGATTTTGGCCAGGAGCTGGATTCGACATGCTTATCTGTTGAAAGAATGCTTTTCTGTTGCTGTTTGCATAAGGGGAAATAGACTCATGATTCCAAGAGCTGTGTATTTTTAAATGAAATGATGTGTGGTAAACTTCTTAAGTGATATTCCTGTTACAATAGACAGAATGCTAGAATCATACACAGATGTTTTGAAAGAGTGTCAGGAATAAAAAACCAGCCAGGCACAGTGGTACCCATCTGTATAGTTCCAGCTTATCAGGAGGCTGAGATGGGAGGATGGTTTGAGCCAAAAGTTCAAGTCCAGGCTGGACAGCACAGCAAGACCCACATCCCTTAAATAAATAATTTTTAAAATTATTATTTAAAAAAGAAAAAAAGGGAGTATCAGAGCGATATCATGTTGCTGAGTGCAAAGTAGCTGTTAGTTAAAAACTATTACTTCTTGTTTGGTGCTTAGGAAGTGATGTGATAAAAATTCTATAGCCTAGAAAAAAATTAATGATAATGTAATAGCAATAAAAATGTTTAACAAATGTTTCTCATATCTTTGCAAAACAAGGTGGCAAAAATAAGGATTTCTAAAATATATATCTGAATCATATAATCAATGGCTTTTTGTCTAAACTTACCAACATTAATAATAGAGAAGCACTACAAACTCCTCTCTAAATGCTTATGAGGCACTTACAACAATTGTTTATATATTGCAACACACCAGTAAACTAAAAATAACAGAAAAATATTGACCAGTGTTCTGATTACACTGCAAAACTCTGGAAATAATCACAACATCATATTTTTTAAAATTAAAACAAAAAATAAAGTAAAAACCTTATTACTTGGAAACTTTAAAAAGTATTTTGGGTCAAAGATGAAATAAAATTGGCAATCATGGAGTATCATTGTATACTGAAATCCACTACTGTAGCCAAAGCTGATTCAGAAGAAAATTTATAGCCTTAAGCAAACAAACAAACAAACAAGAAATAAAAAATTTCATGATTTTAACATTTAAGTCAGGAAGGGAGATGAGATGTAATAACAAATACACATAAATATAGAAGAAATTAATGAAAATATATATCAGTAATTTAGAAAGCAAATAATAGAAATGATGTATGAATCCAATATCTCTTTTTGGGAAAAAGAGTAAAAGGCAATGATGATATTCTAATTTTAAGAAAAGAAAAGGCAAAAGATCCATGAAATTGCATATAGAAATACTGCCAATGTGGTTTTTAGATAGAAATCTGTAAATTCATAAATCAGTGAAGATACATAATATGTATACAATCTCAAAACTATAACTCAAGATTCGTTATCAAAGACTTAAAAAAGAAAATTCATAGTGATGAGTAGACTAATACTCCTTAGCATGTTAAAAAATACCCATTTTTACTTATTATATGATAACTAATCAATATGAAGAATAATATGTTTTCTGTGTCATATTTTATTGTGAACAAGTAATCATCAAGCAACTATTAAAGTGAGATGACAAGAATATCTACAATAATCAATGTTTAACATTGTTTTGTATATTAGAGGCAATGCAGTAATGGCTAAATTAATGTGATATTAGCAATTGAGAAGAGAACACACATTCGTCTTATTTCAGATGTTATAAGTATTCACCTAAAATACCAAGAAAATAAAGTTTTAAAGTATTTAGAACCAAAAGAAAAATATTCAGTGAGTCTTGCACCTCAAAATTAGCATAAAGTTAGTAGTTTTCCTGCAATTTTTTCTTTTCTTTTTTTTTTTTTTGAGATGGAGTCTCTCTCTGTCGCCCAGGCTGGAGTGCAGTGGCACCATCTCGGCTCACTGCAAGCTCCGCTTCCCGGGTTCACGCCATTCTCCTGCCTCCGCCTCCTGAGTAGCTGGAACTACAGGCGCCCCCACCATGCCCGGCCTTTTTTTTTTTTTTTTTTTTTTTTTTTGTATTTTTAGTAGAGACGGGGTTTCACCGTGTTAGCCAGAATGGTCTCGGTATGTTTCTAACAGTCATTAAAAAATACAATGAGGAGGCTGGGCGCGGTGGCTCAGGCCTGTAATCCCAGCACTTCGGGAGGCCGAGACAGGCGGATCACGAGGTCAGGAGATCGAGACCATCCTGGCTAACGCGGTGAAACCCCCGTCTCTACTAAAAACACAAAAAATTAGCTGGGCGTGGTGGGGGCGCCTGTAGTCCCAGCTACTTGGGAGGCTGAGGCAGGAGAATGGCTTGAACCCGGGAGGCGGAGCTTGCAGTGAGCCAAGATCTCACCACTGCACTCCAGCCCGGGCGACACAGTGAGACTCCATCTCAAAAAAACAAAACAAAACAAAACAAACAATGAGGAGCTGGGTGCAGTGGCTCAGGCCTGTAATCCCACAATTTTGGGAGGCCCAGGCGGGTGGATTACTTGAACCCAGGAGTTCCAGACCAGCCTGGCAAACAGGTGAAACCTGTCTCTAGAAAAATAAAATAAAATTATCCAGGCAAGGTGGCGTGTGCCGGTTGCTCCAGCTGAGGTGAGTTGAGGGAGACTGAGGTGGGAAGATTACCTGAGCCTGAGAAGCAGAGGTTGCGGTGAGCCATGATGGTGTCACTGCACTCCAGCCTGGGCAACAGAGCAGACTCTGTTTCAAAAATAGTAAATAAAAAATAAAATAAAAATAGGTCCAAAATACAATAAGAAGCTTCGGGCTGAGGAAGGTTGGTGTGGGAGCAGTGGGTAGTGAGGCTGGGTTTGATTGCTAATGGTTACAGGGCTTCTTTTAGATGGATGAAAAGGTTATAAAAAAAAGGATCGTGGTGTTGCTTGCAAAATCCTGTGAATAAACAAAATTCAAAGGAGTTGACATTCTTAGCATGTGAAGCACTTATACAAAAAATTAGCATGTGACAATCCATAACCTATGGTTCAGTAAGAAAAATAAAGTTTGTCTGAGGTACAAGCAAATATAAATGGTCAGAAAATTTGAAAAGATTTTTAAAGTTACAAATAAACAGGGAACTGCAAATTATCACCACACTGCTATTTCATTTTAGAACAAATTGACAAAAATGTAAGTCTTGGTATTACAGAGAATTATTGAATACATAGATCAAAGAGAAGTTTCAAGCTCTGCTATTGTAACTGTAAATTGATAGAGCCAATTTGGAAAAGAATTTTTGTCAATATTTAGTAAATACGAAGATGTGTGTATCCTTTGATAAGACGTATTTATATGTGTGTTTGTGCAAATTTACTGGAGCCACATTTATTAATAGGGATAAATCTAAAAATCACAATCTTAAGGAATAAAAGCTAGTTACATCACAAGAGCGGCAAGTCTACTGATAAGCACAAGCATTTGGGTATCTGGGGGCCATCTATACACATTATTATGTCAGTAGAAGTCCTTTGCACGAGGAGAGTAGAGTCTTCCCTCCTCCACTTCCTTCCCTCTTGGTGGTGTTACCAATCATTTAACTAGCACATTGCACTTGTCTTCAGCTGATAACTGAAGCTACTATTTGACAAGTGGACTTTTGTGGCTCTATGTACGTCTCCAAATGATAGTCAAAGAACACAATTCAAGTCATATGGATGGCTGAAATGTTTGCTATTCTACCACTGTGCAGGCTAAATTCAGCTGATCTGATAGAATAAAGTTTGTATCTTCTTCTTCTGTCACCACTCCATGACTTTTCTTAGCAGATAAGTAATTGTCTTTAGTACTGAGAAGTGAACCTGGCTGGGCTCCTGGGTCGGGTGGGGATTTGGAGAACTTTTCCGTCTAGCTAAAGGATTGTAAACACACCAATCAGCGCTCTGTGTCTAGCTAAAGGTTTGTAAACACACCAATCAGCACTCTGTAAAAATGGACCAATCAGCACTCTGTAAAATGGACCAATCAGCACTCTGTAAAATGGACCAATCAGCGCTCTGTAAAATGGACCAATCGGCGCTCTGTAAGATGGACCAATCAGCGCTCTGTAAAATGGACCAATCAGCAGGACATGGCGGGACCAAAAGAGGGAATAAAAGCTGGCCATCCAAGCAAGCAGTAGCTACGTGCTGGGGTCTGCTTGCGAGTTGGTGGTGATGTGTTCTTTGGCTCTTCACAGTAAATCTTGCTGCTGTTTGCTCTTTGGGTCCGCACTACATTTATGAACTGTAACACTCACTGGGGAGGTCTGCAGTTTCACTCTGGAAGTCAGAAAAACCACGGATCCACCGGGAGAAACAACTCCGGACGCGCCACCTTTAAAAGCTGTGACACTGGCTGTGAAGGTCTGCGGCTCCCTCCTGGAGTCAAACCAGACCACGAGCCCACCGGAGGAAAGAAACTCCAGACACATCCGAACATCTGAAGGAACAGACTCCAGAGACACCATCCTTAAAACCTGTAATACTCGCTGGGAGGGTTCGCGGCTTTGTTCTTGGAAGTCAGCCAGACCAAGAACCCACCGGAAGGAATAAATTCCGGACACAGTAATAGGTATGGGAGTCCTCAAGTTCTTCTTTCTTGTTCCACCTGCTAAGTCCTCCTTTTGTCTTCCTTAGGTCCTAGTGTTAATGCTTCTCTAAAGGGACTCCCATTTCTTTCTCGATGAAGCCTCATATTGTATCTGTCTCTTTGTTGTTAAATCTCATGGAAAGAAATGGATAATCTCTTAGAGTTCTTACGTAGGCTTTGAAATTCTCCTATGTGACAAGTTACTAGAAGGCAAGAACTGTATTGCATTTATATTTTTGTCTGATTAATTTGTTAGCAAAATGTCTAGGATAAGGTAGTTCTCAAAAATTGTCTAACTTAAATGGATGCTTAAATATGAAAAGGAGACAACTCTGAAAGCATTTCAGACTTCCTTCTCAATAAACACTTGAGATAACATAAACCTATTTGCTTAAATTACACATTACGTATTCCAACATTCTATGTAGAGTAATGGTGAAGCTTAAATGTTCTCAAGTTATATAGTATATATATGGTTAAGACATAATGTAGACTATAATTTAGACTACATTATTTTAAGTTTTACAATTTATTACTTTCACTATATAATAGAATGTTAAAATCCATAGTTTATCATTTATATATTTGATTTAAACTATTATGTACTTACATGTAATATAACAACATACATTAACATATTAACAGATGTTAATGCGTTTTTTAAAAAAACTTTATTTTGAAATTACTTCAAACCTACAGAAAAGTTGCAAAAATCATTCACAGAGCTACCATACACGCTACTCAGATTTAGCAATTTCAAACATTGTTCCACATTGGTGGTTCTCTCTTTTATCTGTCTCAACAAATATAAACACACAATTATTTTTCCCAATCTCTCTTGACTTAACTTGCATATATCACGTCTTTTACCTCTGATAATTCAGTGTGTACTTCCTAAAAGAAAGGACAAGGGTGTTTCTTCTCAAACTAAAGAGACTACCCAAAATTTCAGATGTATTGAAATGGTGCAAGATTTTTTCCTTTATTTTTAGCTGTGTTTTGATTTACAGTTTTCATTAAGATGCAGCCCTATGCTGGAGTTAGACTTTTAAGCTTGCGTCAATTTCCTATTTGTATGATCTTAAAACACGAAAACAGTTCTTAGTTTTATGTGTCTCTCGTTGTACCCAGCTTATGCTTGTATTAGGTCATCTCTTCTCTATTTCTGATCATCATTGCTATTTAGTCAGGTTAGGAGGGAGACCCACACAAAGAATGACTCAGGAGAAGAAGAAAAAGGGGACCATGGCATCAATATTAAAGGAAATTAATGATGTTTTGGAAAACACTGATTGATAGACTTCTAAGTCCATTGTTATTGAATATCTTAGAATCTAGAGTAATACCTCGGAAATGCAAATTATGTCATCATTGGATTAATATCTTTTCTTGTGGTGTTACTGGTGTAAGAGTATCTCTGGAAACCTTGGGTAATAAAATGTTCCAGATGCAGGAAGACAAACTGTATGATTTATTATTGAAAAATACTTTGAGTTAACACTAGTAATCATTTTTTTCAGGGCAATTCTTGTTTTCTATTTCTTTGATTAGTTAAAAACCAAGCAGGCCACATCTTTTCTCCTCTTCCCATTGGCATTTCAGCGACTACTATTCCTGGGACAAAGGTTTTAAATTAGCCTTTTGATTGGGATTTTGTCATAGGCATAAATATACTTAATAGGATGTATAAACGTATTTTGCTAGTAGAGTTATGGGTTTAATGAGATACTGAGATGTTCAAGAACCTTTGCTGCTTTTAGATCACTGTTCTGAGAACAATGACACTCTCAATAATTGCTCTTAGTAACATCAGTAGTCATTTCTCTGTAATCAAAATCAGCTTATGAATTCTCCTTCCAGCAATAATGAAGTGAGTGTGACTAGACTTGCTTTTCTATCATAAGTCACTAGAAAAGCTGAAGAAAACCTATGAAACAACTGTATGTAGTTATTAAACAATAGGCCGTTTGGTACTGTCATCCCTTAGAGAAAGGAAACAAGACCGCTACAATGAACTTGGCTCGCCTAGAGACCATGATAGACTACAGTGTAGTGAAAACAATCCTAAGCAGGACATGGCAGATCACTAGATTGAGAATACAGAGATCAGTGTTCTGAGAAAATGCAGCAACTTAAATTTGCAGAATATAGAATGAGAGAGGAGGGTGCTATGCAGAGAGCGCTCAGGACATGTGGGTTGTCTTGCATTTGTTGATGAGTATTAAGCTGCACGTGCATAGAGTGAGTCTCCACAGAGCTAAATAGACAATAAGCCGGGACCTACAACCTACATGATTTTCGGAGGTTACGCAAGACTAGATGACTACTTCTAACCAGCAAGAATGGAGGATCTTTATCAAACATACAGAGACCATTAAATGGACCATTAAATGGGCATATTAAGTAGGTATCCCAGAAGGGTAATGCTTTAGTAGTAGGACCAAAATAGCCTTAGGTTAAAGGCCACCTTAGACTTTCCCCTTAAAGAACTTTAAAACTACTCTTGAAAAGATCAAACTGATCAGTACATAACTTTACTGCTGGAATAAAGACAAATACCCTTTAAAAGAAGATGGCAAAATACAGCACAGAACAACATAAAATTCACAACGTGCAGAGTCTGAAAAGAATTATTAGCATACCAAGATTCAGGAAGATGTAACGCATAACCCGAAAAAAAGTCACTCATTATAATAATAACAGCGCAAGAAATGAGAGATGATTGAATAACCAGACAAGAAAATGATAAACTACCGTTGATGAGCTTAATGGTTTAAAGAAAAAATGAACACAATGAAGGCAATAATGGGATATATAAGAAGAATCAAATGAAATTATTACAGCTCAAATACAATTTCTGAAAGACATGACTCAAAGCAAATTGGACAATGCAGAAGACAAGAGAAGTTGGGATGCCCACTTTCACCACTGTTGTTCAACACAGTACGTGAAAGTTCTACCTAGAGCAGTCAGATGAGGAGGAGAGAAAGGGCATCCAAATCAGAAAGGAAGTCAAATTGTCTTTGTCTGCAGATAATGCAGTATTATATTTGGAAAAACCTTAGAGATTTCACACAAAAAAAATTAGGTTGGTGCAAATTGCGGTTTTTCTAACAATTACATATGTTGGAAAATTACACGATTACATAATTACATAATTCTAACAAAATATAGTTAGAATGCAGAAGATGTAGTATTTGATGGCACATTAGGATGACTACAATAAACAATTTATTGTACATTCAAAAATAACTGAAAGTATAACTGGAATGTTTGTGACACAAAGAAATGTTAAATGCTTGAGGAGATGAATACCTCATTTACCTTGATGTAATCAGTATGCGTTGTATGCCTGTACCAAAATATCTCATGTACCACATAAATATACACACCTACTATGTAAACGTAAAAATATAAAGGGTTTAAAAAGAGAACTTGAAAACATAGTAATATGGTTATCTGAACTAAAGCACAGTGGAAAAACAGGCTGAAAAAAAGTATTCAGATGCCTGTGAGAGTATATCAAAGTGTCACACGTGTGTAATTGGAGTTTCAGAAGAAGGGAGGAAAAATGTTTTTGAAAATAGGAGCTGGAAATTATCCAAATGAGATGAAAGCTATAAACACACAGACCTGAGAAGCTCAATGAATTCCAAGAAGGGTAAACAAAAAAAGTACATCTAGGAACATCAAGATAAAATTGGTGATGAGTATTGATAGACGGAAAAACTTAAAGGCAACCCAGGTGGTGCATATTAAGATATTATAGGCTGGGTGCAGTGGCTCATGTCTATAATCCCAGCACTTTGGGAGGATCACTTGAAGAGGAGGTTGAAAGCAGCTTGAACAACAAAGCGATACCCCATCTCTACAAAAAAAAATTAAAAAGTAAAAAATAACTTAGCTGGTCTCAGTGGCATACACCTCTAAGTCCCAGCTACTAGGGAAGCTGAGCCAGGAGGATCGCTTGAGCCCAGGAGTTTGAGACTCTGATGAGCTATGATTGCACCACTGTATTCCATCCTGGGTGACAGAGCAGGACCCTGTCTCTGGAAAACAAAGTATGTACATGAGGACAGAGATAATATATTTTTATTAATTATTTGTTGAAATACATAAATTGTTAATTTCTTATGAAATAACAAGGGACTACTATTTTTAAAGTGCTAAAGGAGAGCTTGTCAACTTTGACTTTTATATCTAGCAAAATAATCTCATGAAAATGTAGGCAAACAAGATTTTCAGTCAACAAAAGCTAGGAGAATTGTCACTAGTAGACGTGCTCTAGAATAATACAGTAAGTTCCTTTGACAAAATGAAAATATCAGATGAAAACATATCTGTAACTACAAAGTACTAAAGAGTGCTATAAACAGCAAATATATAGAGAATTATTTTATTTTAAAATATTTCTTGAAAGGTATTTATAGCAATATCAATGTGATGGTATTTTAATATATATAAAAGTAAAATAGAAAATAGCACACAATTTGGGGGTGGTAGAATTGCACTGTGGTAAGGTTTTTGCATTAAACATTAAATAGAATTACAGTATTTGAGACTAGACTGTACTTGAAGGTAAACGTTGTAAACCTTAAACACCAGAAAAAAGGCATAATTTATAACCTCACAGTAAATACGGAATTGAATGCTAAAAAAATACAATGATTTGAGGGTTTTTTTTGTTGTTGTTTGTTTGAGATGGAGTCTCATTCTGTCCTCATGCTGGAAGTGCAGTGGCATGATCTCGGCTCACTGCAACCTCCGCCTGCTGGGTTCAAGTGATTCTCCTGTTTCAGTCTCCCAAGTAGCTGGGACTACAGGCATGCGCCACCACGCCCAGCTAATTTTTGTATTTTTAGTAGAGATGGAGTTTCACCAAGTTGACCAGGATGGTCTTGATCTCTTGACCTCATGATCCGCCCGTCTGGGCCTCCCAAAGTGCTGGGATTACAGGTGTGAGCCACTGCACCCAGCCAAAT